TTAATTTTTTACAAAAATTTTTGTTTGTTAAGGAAAATTATGTGTGCTTTTTTTATTTGTTATTACTTAATATTATTCAATTTCTGTTTGTCTTAATTGTTAACCTTTTCTTTCTTCCTTCATCTTTCCTCTCAATCACCTTTTCCATCCTTTTTTTTACCTGCTAAAAAAAAAAACACAAAAAAAGTAAATAAAATTTTTTTTATTTGTTTTTTTTCTTTTATATTGTATTATTTTTAAAAAAGAAAGCGAATGTTTTTTTAATTGATTGATAAATGAACATCGTCATTGGAATTTCGATACATCGATGATGCCAGCAAATTGTGTTACTGCTGTTAAATTTTTTTTCTGTTACTGCCGCTGTTGTACATCATATTGTACATATTTATATTAATTAGACAAAAAAAAAAGACAAAAAAAAGACAAAAAAAAAAAGGAGTAAAGTATTAAAATTTTTTTTTCAGATAAAAAAAACACAAGTTTAATATAAAAAATTTGGATTACTGTATTGCATATAACAAACAATTGTCTTTTGCTCTCAGACAAAAAAACTTTTGTCTGTTTGTCTGTCTGCCTTTCCAATTGTCCTCCTCTCTATTCCCCATTCTAATCTCCAACTTTGACAGTAAAATTTATGCTTTTTTATTTTAAAAAAAATTCTTTTTTTTTTCCTTTAAACCAATTTTTTTCTAAAATTTCTTTTACTTTTTCGTTTTTATGCTTATTATTTTGGTCAACAAACTGTTGATTCCACTGGTTACTAAATTATCATTGCCAAATTACAGCAAACTGTGCAACGCTTTTTTGATGTGATCAAAACAAATGAAAAAATATAAAAGTAGTTGAAGTAGTTATAGAAAAGGTGTGAAACAAATATAAGATAATATTTTGAAGATTAATTAGTTGAAAAAAATGATTGGTAACTGTACAGTCAGACAAAATTAGCCAGTGATAGCATCGGTTAAATGAGCAAGTGTTAAGCAACAAAACTTTACTAGGGATTATCAAACTTCTATGACATCTAATTGCGCATAATAGATTCTCTTGTTAAAATTTCTTGTTGTTTATTGCAAATTTACAAATTTCGGCAGGCAAAACGCTGTTTTTGAAGTAAATTTTTTACAGATTCTAATAGCATTGTACACTGCTGCCAATATGTTTAGCCCTTCAGCAACAAGAAAACTGCACTATATGAGTTGGTTATTGCGGTGACAATGATTAATGGTACGTCAAACAGTAATTAACGCAACAACAATCACCAAAAGGTATGCTTACAGCTAACTAATAATTGCCAATAAATTTCTTGCCTAGTTTCTAGAAAATTCGACACCCGATAGCAGTAATTTATGCTCAACATTTTTAGTATTTTACACTGTATAAACGAAAAAAAAAATAATGAAAAAGCGAAAAAATTTAAGTTCTCGCGTACAAACATTGATAAGAGACAGAAAAATGAGTGAAAAAGTTGAAAATCAATGAGATTTGTGACAAGAAATGCTCGAAAATTTATACTATTGCGACAAAAAAAAATGAGATAAACAAATTTTTCAGATTTAGCATTTTTGTTTCTTCAAAATATTTATTCATTTAATTAATAAAGTCATTTCCGATAGATGCTGAAACATTCTAGCACTTCAGTAAGTTGTAAACTGAACCGCCAACATCAGACAGTCAGTCTTTCAGCTATATATTTCTCACTTTGTGGACGGTTTTCCCTGACATTAAACCCACAAAATATGACCTTATTTATCACATAATTTTTTGAACACTTTTTTTTAATGAGCAGTCAGTTAATTTACTTTAGTAAGTAATCAGCAAAGATCATATGTACCAAAAAGATTCAAATGCTTATTCAAATGTAATATTTAGAACGTAAAACAAAGTAGCACCCTTTTTCCATCAAAGATTCTGCTTCTTTTTTTCAGCATATGTAAAAAGAGTTAAATTAGATGGCACTATAAGTCCGCCGACTATGTACACTTTTTTTCTTGCGTTTGTTTTCTTAGAAGCCTAATTAGTGTAAAGATCAAAAAACAGAACTGAAGTAGAGCAAAAAAAAAGAAAAAAGAAAAAAGAAAGGTGGGTCATTAAATGAAGATAATTAACACTTAAAAAAACCACAAAAGTCGAAAAAAATTTTTTTGGTAGCTGTCTGACTGACTAAATAAATAGCCGAATAAACAAATACGAATAAAATAATAGAGGGAAAAGCAGAAGCATAAATACTGTTCAGAGGCAAAAATTGACTAAGCTAATTAGGAAATTGTTTGTTGAGGAACTTTTTTAGGTAAAAATTTTGATCAATTTACCCAAAACAACAGCACTTAGACAACAGTTTTTGCACTTTATTCCAGTAAACTGTCTACTCCAAAAAATAAGCAAAACTAAATTGCTTAGCACAGACTAAATGAAGTAAAATAAAATTGTGAAAAAAAAAAAATAATTGATAGCAATCTTATTGACCGGAAATGCCATCGACAACATTAGTCTACCAAATGACAAAAAACAATAGGTGAGAAAATTTGGAGGCATTAATTGAGCAAAACGAGAGTAAAGATTATTGTAAATCTTTTTAATTAATATGATTATATCGCTTAAATAAATCTTAAATATAACGACACATTTTTTGTCTGTATTTCTGAAAAAATAAGCAAAAAAAAAA